CACATGGCATGGACTGAAAATTGTAAAGTTTTCGCTTGGGATGCTCCAACAAAGAAGAAAATAGCTGTAAATATTAACAGCGACAGCGCGGTATCTCTAATATTTTTTGTTTAAAAGTTTGGTTTTTGACAAAAAAAGGAATAATGTATTTATTTTTGAAATAGCGAAAATTTTTTTATTCTTAATCTTGGCAAATACCATGGAAAAGGGAATTTAGGTATTGTCTCGCAATAATCTGATTTCATTTCGAATTTGTTTACTTTTTTAATACGGAATTTATAGCCTGTAATATTTTATTAAGTACCTATATGAATAATGTGTAAATATTGTTTATCTCTCTATTGTTATTTTGGAACTGTCTAGTATATTTTGATTTCTTTACATTGAAGATCAGCCTGGAAATTAAATTTATTTTTGTTATTATAATTTCTCAATATAATTAATTACTGCTATAATTATGAATTATGAATAATTTTCAATTGAGTTAACTATCAAATATATATTTTAATATTGTTATATTTTTGGAATTCATGTGCTATATTGGTGTTAGGTTGAAAGTATTATGCATTTGTTCTCATATTAAATTCCTTTTATTTAAGAATAATGGAGAACTACAATTTTAATTTTAAGAGTGTTAATTGAATAATGTTTATTCCCAAAAGCATTTTTTTATTTGATAGTTTTTTGTTTTGTAATTTCAAGGGTATGAGCGGATATAAGAGGGGAGGCATTTTCTTTTGGATGGTTTATTTGTCTGGGGATGGCTAGCATCATGGACTCGGGCGGTCAGCAGAGCAATAGAACGAGTAAAAAATTTTGTGTAGGACATTTAAATGTTCGTTCTCTTAATACCGGTTTTGACGAATTTGTACACTATTTGAATGATTACCGGTTGGATGCCTTGGGTCTATCTGAAACTTGGTTGTCATCTAACTATGGAAATGATGCTTTCAATGTTACTGGATATTCTTTTGTTAGAAAGGATAGAGATGGTCGAGGAGGGAGTGTGGCATTATATATAAAAAAACATTTATCATACGAAATTGCTCATTTGGGCATTGCTACTAATTCGTGTGAATTTATAGCCGTCCAGTTGACTATAAAGCAAAGAAAGTTTTTATTTTTCAATGTATATAGGCCTCCTTCGTCAAGTATTGAAGATTTTATTAACTTCCTGGAAAACTTGTTGAGTTATACTGTGCCATTTTATGATAATGTGATATTTATGGGTGATTTTAATATTAACTTTTTAAAACAGTCTCCTGTGACATTGAAAATATCTAAAATTTTAGAGTCTTTTAATCTTGTACAAGTTATCAACGAACCTACTCGTGTTTCGGATGTGCCTGCAGCCTAATTGATGTAATGATCACAAAAAATAATTTTAATTATGATTTCAGTACTTCCGTCCCTGTATCTGAGTCAGTTTCTGATCATTGTTTGATATATGTTATATTTACTCTACAAATATCCCATAGCTCTACGAAATATATTGAATATAGAGATTATAATCATATTAACCAGGAAAATTTTAAAAAAGATGCAATTATGTTACCTTGGGAAAATATTTTTTATATAGCGGATATTAATATTAAAATAAAAACTCTATATAATTACATTTTTTATCTCCTCAATAAACATGCACCGTTGCAAAAGAAGAAAATTGCAGATAAACCATATTTACCCTGGATAACGGATAACATTAAATTATTAATCAAACTTAGAGACAAAGCACATCAAAAATATTTAAAACAACGATCTGAAGCCAAATTACAACATTATCGTCAACTCAGGAATTTTACAAAACATGCTATAGTTAGAGAAAAAATTAGTTATTTTAAGAGTTTATCGGAAAAGACTGGTAAAGACTTCTGGAAAGATGCTAAACGACTTAAGTTAACATTTAAATCAAGTCCGGAAGTTCCTGAAAACTTAGCGGATGTAGATAAGCTTAATATTTTTTTTTCGAACTGTCAGAATTGCATTAATAGTGCATCAAATAAAAAAATTGATTTTTATAGACAAAATAAGCATGAAAAATAGGGAATAATGTTCTAAATTTCAAACTAATAGATGAGGTATCGTTACATCAAATATTAAATTCTATTCGGTCAAATGCTGTCGGTGAAGATGATTTATCAATTAAAGCACTAAAGCTGTGCATGCCTTACTGTGGTAAAGCGGTAATAAATATAATTAATACTTCTATTTTAGGTTAATGATATTAGAACAAATCAAGAAAATAAAAATATGACGTGTCTTAGCCTTAGCTTACTAGACTTTAGTAAAGCATTTGATACTCTAGACCATTCATTGCTCCTAGCAAAATTACAGTATTCTGTATTTTCAGACGGCTCTTTAGAATTGATAAAAAATCTTTTAAAAGATAGATCACATTGTGTTGTCATGAAACGGGGAAGTTTAAAACAAAAATCTAGTTATATTCCTATGATTTCTGGGGTTCCTCAGGGATCTATTCTACCAAAAAAAGTATTTTAATGCAAGTTGAAATCATCAAGTTTCATAAAGATATCTATAATAAAATCAGTTATTATGAAAAAAAGTTTTTTTTTAGAAAAATTTACCACCCCGTATCTCAGAACTGAACAGGTTTAGGACATACATTTATATGAAGTTTTTCTCTTAGAATAGATTCAAGAATCGCCCCCTTAAATATTAGCATGTCATTAAGGAACACCCTGTATATTATAGTCTTTATAGGTATATTCTGTCGTTCACCGAAGTTAAGCGACGTTAGACGAGACGATGTGAGCATATAGACGGGTGAACGTCTGAAAACTCTATCGTGCTCTTGTTCCATGCCATGAGAGTGTAAATCGAACGAGACGCATTGCTCATTCATGTCGGTTAAAAGTCGGATGAGATCAGATATCTTCTGAATAAGGGTTGATTTAGAGTTAGACACACGTCAAGTCGGTAGGCGCGGTTCGGAATCCTCGCACACAAAGTGGGCCCCATCCAGATTATCCCTCGCAACAGAAAAGAGACATCAACTCAGCTTTAAAAAATACTTTTAATTAAGACGGCAGATGCCAAAAACTTTTTTTAATAATTTAAATATCTCTATGTTTTTATGGAAAAAAGATATTCTGGTAGATATCAAAAATTATTTTAATAAAAAGTATACAGGGTTGTTCACCACATACGACACGGAGTATTGTAGCTAAACGACTAGATTTTTACAAATTGTAAGTTTTGGGTTCGTTGGAGGACTATTAGAGCTACAATTTAAAAATATTTTTACAACATACAGAGTTTCCCAAATAAATAAAAAATATCAAAGTTGTATTTTTTTAAATGGAACACCCTATATATTATTACATTTTTAGTTTCTACGATTAAAATAAAGGTAAATTTGATTAAGGTTTATTACACTTAAACCTTACCGTTTATGAAATAACAACTTTGATATTTTTTATTTATTTCGGACACTCTGTATCTTGTAAAAATATTTTTAAATTGTAGCTCTAATAGTCCTTCAACGAACCCCAAACTTACAATTTCTAAAAATCTAATCCTTTAGCTACAATACTACGTGTCGTATGTGGTGAACAACCCTGTATATGTCTAAACAGTTGTTTTTTAAATATTGGCACGTGTGGAAGGCTGTTTATCTGAACCGGTGTTCCTCATTTATCACTGATTTCAAATATTTCATTCCGACCGGAGTTTCGCTCCTTTTGAGTCATAGTCGTTGTTTTATCGATCTTGTTGCCAGATCAATCAACATTTCTTCAAATTTACATATTTTGTTTATACATACGTTATCTGGCATATTATATTGAAACATATTACACAGTTTTATTAAGTATCACTTAAAATTATTATATTAAAATAAAACTGTTATGTGGAAGTTTCATTGTCTTTATTTTTATGATTTACACAACCATACCGTTTCGGAGAGGTTTTTATCAGTACCTGTCATTAAGGAGGAGATAGATAATTTTAGTTTCTTGAAGTTTGCGTTTCTTTCAATGCGGTCATCCATTATTGCCTTAGTATACAGGGTGTAGAGAAATTGTATACCAAACCAGTGTTTTTTTATTTAATTTTTTTTATGCAAAAGCGCGATATCTGTTATGATGTCAAATAGCGCCCTCTAGCTACCACGAAAAAATCTATGGAAACGAATTGCATACTGGAGATCATTAGAGAAGAAAAGCTCCTTTAAACAAGCCTTAGTTTGTTTAAATCGGCTAACCCAAACCATAGTTATCCTTATTTTAATAAAGGATAGTTTAACCTTCCTGCAAAATACGCTATATCAAGAAAATTACAATTTGTCCGTTGATTACAATAGCAATATTTAAAATACCTCTTCACCTGCATATTTTTGAGAAAATTCCTGTTTTCCGATTGGCTATCACAGATGCGCCCACTAGCGGACATTTTTCAAACTTGAAAATAATTTCCGGCGATTTCTCTTGGTCGATTTAGTTAATACAATTTTTTCCCAAAGTTATACGACATTACGATAAGTAGTTTCAGCTATAGCCAGCGTGTTGGCCACCCGGTGTTCTTTAATGCTAGTTTCTAGTGGCATAACAATATTGTTAAAGTTATGTTATACATTTAATTAAAATGCATTTTTCTTAGTTTTGTTTGAGACTCCTTTTACAAGAGCTCGACTGCTTAGAACCTTCTTATATTAACCATATGGAGAAGAACTGATTATCAGCTCACCTTTTTTGTCTCGGGCATAACAGTTAACGATATGGAGAGATAATCTATATACCTATTTAGCCTGTTATGGCACAAAGTGTCATTTTGGAGTTTATTAAAATGTCAAACAATAAAATCTTTTGTTTAGTGCGTAGTATAACTATATCTTTCAGTATATTTTTCTGACGATTTAGTTATTTACGTTTGAAAATAGAGAAAATCTAATATTTTTTCGGGAAAAAAGCCGGCAACCATGCCGACTAGACCGGTATTTTAGCAGTGTTAAGGGGCGATCACACTTAGTAGTTGCATATCTACTTTGAGGTGAAGGCTGTACAATCCGACGTTGACACAACTCGCGGATCGAATCAATACAGTCTTTTACTATATTTTCTACGACGATTTATAGTGAAATTATTGAATGAAAAAGTGATTACATATAACAATTACCGCCGGTATCAGTGGAATTTTATATTTTCTACTGTGTTTTGCGATTGGACACTCATACCTTGACAACAGACGTAGGTAAGAAATGACATAATATTAAAAATAATTGTATAATAATGTAAACATAAAGGCTTATATACTTAATATATTCTAAAAATGATTTTTTCAGAGAGTATTTTATATACATTTTGCTATAATAATATATCTGATATTCAATCATTGATTTTATATTACTTAATTGTTATTTTACAATTACATTATTCAGCGTTTTTACAAATCAGAATATTCAACCCATTGTAAATATGTATTTAAAAAAATCATATTTACGCGTAGACTAATTTGCAAACAAAATCATAATAAATGAAAGTTAATAAATTAATATATAAAAAATCCGTAGATCATATTCAGATTTTTGGGTTGGGCCTATTATACGTAGGTAATTTAATTTATTTGGGCATATTAATTTCCATAAAATCTTTGGTGATTTATTTTTTAAATAAATTACCATTTTTTTAGAAGTACGATTTTTTGACAAATTACAAATTTATTGTTGGAAAGCTGCCACAATGAGGAAGCATTTTTAATGCATACTGCATAGTAAAGTATAATTATATTTAAGTTCAGTTATTTAGCTATGCAACATAGTTTCTCAACTGGATTGCATAATAGGTATGCAATGTACTTTGATTTATAGTATATTATATTGTTTTACTTAGAAACCTTCGATCAATACAAGAATAGTGTTTTTAATTATACGTAGGTAAAAAAAACGTGCCTATGTCAACCCCATACTAAGTTATAACTTAGCTATATCAATATATTTTTATTCTATTATTAATTACATATTAATATTTTAAAAAAAAATTAATAAATATATAAAATCTCTGGTATTTTATATATTTTTTAAAAATTTTGATTTATTTGCAAAAATTATGATTAAAAAAAAATTTTTTTTAATTAAAATCGAGATTTAAATAAGATTTTTTTTAATTAAATCATTTTTTTTATATTAATAGAAAACATTATTTAAATTTTCCAAATAATTAGGACTTGATTCCAACTAAAGTCCTATATAGGATATCTCAGTGACTTTTTTAAATAAAAACGTATTACAATATTTTGAAGGGATGCGACACATCACCTGCTTCAATGGAAGCTTGACTGCTGACGACTATGATGGACCATGTAGTTGTAGGCCAGTCAATCTGGAGGTTGAGGTGGAAAAAATTAGTAACCAACCGATCTCAACGGGAATGTGTAGATAATGACCTCCTATTTAACCCCTCCAAAGTGCCATTAGGTCGCAGTGGGGGAAGTTTGAAAAAAAAACGCCGCTATCTTGAATTTTTTCGTTTTTTTTCAAATATCTACGTTTACATAACATTTTTCGAAAAAACTAAAGATATGTTTTTTTGTAGATAATTAAATTTAAAATATGTTACCTTCAATCACTTTTTTTCTAAAATTAATAGTAATAGAGATAGAGTCATTTTTTACTATACGTTTTATAAATTTTCCAGTTTTTTTAAATCACTCAGCTATAATTTTTGCGTTATACAGTATAGTGTTAATATATGTAGATAAATCAAGTATAAATTTAAGCATTAAAATAATTAAAAATAACGTTTAATTATTATTATTTATTAAATAAAATCATTGTTAAAAAAAATGTTTTTAAATTAAAGTTATTAAATAAAATCTGCTATTGACGTTATCCTGAGCGTCATTTTCATCCTCAACCTTAGTCCTCAACTAAAATACAAAAGTTTGTGCAACTGATTCCGTAGCATCGATCACACTTTGAAGTGAACATTTGAAATATTTAAGACCCAGTTTTCTACAAGAGCAATTTTTAGAGCACTGAGTAGGTCAGGAGTGTTGATTGAATAGGTGTCAGATTTCTTTTTGAATTTTCTTCTATCCATATTGTAAAGGATCTAACTTGTTACCAATCCATTCTTGAATCTAAAAAATAGAACTTATAACATTTCCTATAATAGATATATCTTTACAGTTACCTGAAAGTATGTCCTGAATAAATGGAGTTTTGCAGAGTTCTCAGTTGGCAGAAAAATAAAGAGAAATTTCACGTCTAAAAGACAGTGAACAGTTTTTTAAATTTTTTTTAGATATAGATATAGATTTTAGATTTTTCATATATAGATGTACTATGTTTATTATTTTTTTTATCCATTTTTCAAGTATACTAGTTTTTCGGTAAGTTTCTTGCAAAAAGCGTAGCAGTTTTACTTTGTTTTCCAAAATTCAAAAAAACGGACAAAATGCATCTAGAAAATCTGCTCCTCATATGATGTAGACTTAACAGTTTTATAGATATCAATTGACTCTTAGTATTTTTGAAAGAAAAGTGGATGCCAAATGCGTCTTTGCCCCAGAATATGCCTACTATATACCATAATTAAATAAAATACTATAATCTTAAAAGTACCTATTTTATGTAAAGTGGAGAAACTATTCTAGAACGATAAATGTACCATTCGAGAGAAATAAAAGAAAAACTAACTGAAAACTGGTATACTTAATATACTCTATAATTTTATCACAATGTTAACTTTAATGAATGTACATATTTATCTATTTATTGATCAATACATAAGGCTACATTACAATAGTTGAATGAAATGTGTGGTAATTATTGTCAATTGATTTTTCTGCATGATAATGTGATAAATCTAATACAAATACAGTAAAGACTCGATAATCCAGATCAATTAAAGCACAAGTTAATCCGGATTAATAAAAAATCCGGATTATGGCGATTTGCATTTTTATACACATATATTTAAAAAAACGAATAAAATAAAACATTTTTATTAGCAAAACCTTAAACAAATATAATTTAAGTAAGAATAAGTATATTCTATAACAAAACTCGTTGTGAATAGGTACATACATCCTATAGATACCAAAGTATCAAATACATACCACAATATTTAAAATTATCAGAGATTTTACTTTGTTTTTTAAGTGTAAGTTTTTGAGACAAGAATATCGTTAATACTGTGTTAATACTAAGATCATTCTCTTCAGCCCACTGCAATCCCAGTGTAAAATATTTTATTGCATCAACGTGCTTCATTTTTTTTGACTGGATATAGATTTCTTCATCGCTGGTATCGTCGGCGTCGTCTATAACTTCAAGTTCGAGATCACCATCCTCTATGATATTTTCAGAGTTTTCAACCCATTGATTCATTTCAGCATTTGTATGAATCTCTCCATCAATTTGCATCAACATGTTTAAAATGTCTTGGTAGCCATGTTTTACTTGCTGCAATTTCTTTCGCAACTGGCTTAAGGGAATGAGATCATCAGGGTCATAATTTGGTAAATTGCCCGATAAAAGTTTGTGCCAACACTTTTCTAAAGAGGTTGTTGTAACTTTTTGCCATGAATTATGGAGTAAATAAACTGCATCCATAAGATTAATTTGCTTAATGCATTTACCAATATCATCCCCGTCTTCAAGTTGCGAAAGGATACGGGCTAAAAGACCTTTTCAGTAGTTTAGCTTTGTTAATCTGATCGCATTTTGATCTTTCGGTTGAATCAAAGCTGTGCAGTTTGGGGGTAGAAACAAAGTGAAAATTTTCCCCAATTTTCCCATCTTCACTAATTAATTCCTCCTCAGAGCAGTGACTGGGCGCGTTATCAATTAACAGTAAGGCTTTTTCAGGAAGTCGTTGGCTTTTCAAAAATTATTTTACTTGTTTGCAGAATGAATTACGAAACCACTCCTTAAAAATTGCAGACGTCATCCATGCGTTACCACTAGAGACATATTCGACAGGTAAAGCTTTGTTTTTGAATGCTCTTGGATTCTTTGCTTTTCCGATGATAAGAAGTTGAAGTTTTTTGGTACCATCACCATTTGTGCAAGCTAAAAACGTAATTCGCTCCTTGCTTGATTTTCTGCCGGGCGCCGTTGCTTCGTTACTGTGAACTAAGGTTTCATCAGGTAATAACTTCCAAAAGAGTCTTGACTCGTCAGCATTATAAATTTGCCGAGGAGCGAGATCGTGATCTTATATAACTTGCCTTAGTTTAGCAATAAATGGCGGTACAGCAGATTCATCATTGGATAATTTCCCTCCGCAGATTTTAAGATGTCTTAATCCATGTCTTTTTTTAAAATTAAGAAGCCAGTCTCTACTTGCAGTAAATGTACCTTTTCCATAAATATTCTAGAAGAGTTGACGAGCTTTTGCGCCTAATATTTCAAATGAAAGGGGAATATGTTTGCTTCGTTGCTTAATAAACCAGGAATACAATTCTCGCTCCATTTCTGGGTATTTTGCCTGCCGGAGGGTTTTACGAGCACCTGGTCCGGATTGACAAATTCCAATAAATCTAAAAAATTGATATGATAATCAAAAGGCTCTTTTTTTCTCACTTTTCTTAATGTCGGAAATAGTAAAAGTTCCAACGCCATACTTTTGGGCAAGTCATTTACCACTAACACCATTTTTTAGTTGAACTAATATTTCACCTTTTTGTTTTATCGTCAAAGTGATATGTTTACGTTTCCCCATTCTGAACTAGGTACCTACGTTAAAACACGTCCGGCCTTCAAATTATTACGATATAAATGAATTACCGCTTCGAGAAAACGCGTTAAAACAAGTTAGAACCACAAACTCGGATTACCGAATCATACGAAATCCGGATTACAAGGTACATAATGCAAGTGCACTGCCGATCCGGACTAGCCAGGAATCCGAATTAGCGCTCTTCGGATTAGATTTGAGTCTTTACTGTATACTCATCATATTTTTTATAGTCCTCTATGTTCTTATAAATATTAATTATAAATTTTGAATACATTGTACAGTACATCTGCTGGATCTGTGTCTATGAAAGGAATGCGGGCAAAAAACATTTAAATAAACAGCAATATATTTTATACGTCGATTTGAGCTACGGGGTATCCGTGAGAGGGGAAACGATATTCTCTCGATGTTTTTCGTAAAAAATTAGACGACGCGTCCCATCAATAAAAATTCGACAAATTTGCAAGTAGCCAATAATATGAGTGGGCGGAGCGATTTGCGGTGACG